ACGCATGGAAGGAGCTGTTGGGATGATGACCCGCGGTAGTTCAGCTTAGGAGATGCATATCCCGACATATTTTTGTTTAATTAATACTTTTCTTATGCTTTATGGCAAAAAGAAAAACTCAAATCCAGCTGGGTTTCTTTTAAAAAAGAGGAAAGGAAATGTTTGTCATACATAATTAAGTGTGCATGTCTGTAAATATCAACCAGAGGTCTGCAATAGCAAAAAAACAATTTCAAAGAAAAAGTCAGAAGAACTGTTACTAAAATTATTTCTCTAACTTCGATCCGATGAATGTTTAAGATTTCCGGAGATAAATTTGATTTTGCAGCTCCAGATCAGGAATTAGGCGTCTGATACTGTGCGCTAATGAGACGTCTTTTCGGAAACCATTTTCTTTTTCCTCACAGAAAAAAATAGTAATCAGATTTACACACTTTTATACAGATTTATAATGATAATTATACAGATTTTGAATGGTTATTTTCTCAGTCTGAACTAAAACTGAAAATATATTTGGACATTTTTTTATTGGTTACATTTCTTCGAGCGTTTTCTTAGAATGCAACCATTGACTGGTACCTGGCCAAGATGATGCAAACTTATTTCACGTGAAAGCATTGTTTCTTCTCTTAAAATTCGTTTTCGAAAGCATGGGCTACTTAACGGAAAATTTTTGAAATGTAAGCTTTTCAACTACAGCATTCCGATTCTAAAAGAAAGACAGACATAGTAATAATAATAATAATAATAATGATAATAATTCATTAATAATTCATAAGTTCGATAGCCAATAAAGAATGGCTAAATTCTTCATGCGCGTGAGTATCGATGCCCAATGAAAACACATATGAAAGCCACACGTGTTTTGGATCACATATCAAAACCACGCATGGTTTTTATCTGTCTTCTCATTGGACATGAAAACAAGACAAATTGAACACATGAATAAAATACTTCAGTTTAATAACTCCATGGAAAGTTTTACATACATTTTCTTCGAAATTAATAACATTTGGCCTGAAAGAAAAGTTATTCACACAAATCTTCCTATGTTCACCACAAAGCGAGCCAAACGTTTTACCATTGTAGAAACAAATAGTATCTAATTAATTATTGCTTAGCTGTTCCACTGCCAAATAATCCTGCACTCCCGAACTTTTCTTTGTCTTCGTCTGTAACAGCTTCCTTATCTTCTTTCTTTGTTTGCAAACTCACACCTTGCCGTGTGCTATTCCTCATCTCGGCATCAAGACAACGACGGAAAATAAAAAATCTACAATAAAACATAGGAAGATTAAAACAAGATCGATCTATATTCTAATTGTAGTCTTCGAAGAAAGTAGTATCATAATAGATACTGTGTCCACTCTTACCTTTTATCCGAAGCATCTAAAGGATTTAATACTTCTCTTCCCACAGTTTCTTCTAAATGCCTTCGGATGCCACAGATAATCCCATACAGGGGCCTTGCTGGATACACCTTCCCTTTACTATTCGCAACCTCCTGGAGAAATTTACTCAGCCAGTAGTTTAAAGTGTTGGCACCCAAATTTGTCAGATTTGTACTCCGGCAATGACTGAGCTTTGTACAAATCGGCAGAATCTTTAAAAGCGCCACCAGCATCAAGTACAGGAACTGTAACTTTTCTATTAATCTGCCATTCGCGAAAAATTTTAATCGTCCATTTGATTTTGTAGGGGGTTGACTTGGAAATACTCCTTTGCAACAACTTTGATTCTTCCTCCCTAGTTTTTGGTTGACGCAAACGGCTCACGGTATTCGCTGCAAAAGACTCTACCATCTTCACTCCCACATGACTCACAACGAACAACAACAAATTCCCACATTTTGATTATTTTTTAAACACATAATCTCCTGGGAAATTATAGCATTGAAACAATAGCCCCTAATTATTAAAGAAGTGTGAATACTTTTAGGAGCCCTATCAAAAACTCGTGCTTCGTGTTTCATCAGGGGTTTCAAACACCTCGAAACAATAAAAGCACTCCGCCTTCCGCGTCGTGCTTTGTGATCCGGAGGTCCCGGGTTCAAATCTTCCTCCCTACCACTAGATGGATTTGTTTTTGGTGGTCCCGAATTCAACTACTTCGCGCTTTCCAAATAGCCAACTGGTCAGCCTCCAGCCGGTTGAGGTTTTTAACACGTTTCTGTTCAATTAATTTACGATGTTTGATTACTTATTTCACCCAGTGTCCTAAATTAGTACAGTCGGTAGTGCTAAACACTTGCACGCTAAAATAAAGCAATATATTTCTTTTCTTTTCTTTTCAGCTTTTCTTTTCTTTTCTTTTATTTAAGGTTAAGCCATCCAGGGCGAAGAAACCGACACTTTAAATACTTAAGAACAGTTACCTGCCTTTCATGGCCTACATCAAGCTCCCTTAATACTGAATAGCTCCTAGAAGTGAACTTAGTATAGGTAATCATACGGTTTCGAGTTCAATTTGGAATTAATTTGCA